AGGAAAGATGAAGCAATCCCCAAGATGAAAAGCAGCTGAGATTGGGGATTGAGGGTAGGTGAAAGAGCAAGGGAAGTGCTTACTAAGGCTGATGGATGTCTCTGAATGGCAGTGCCTATCACTGCATTTGAAGGGCTTTGTGTTGGTGTGATGGAAAACCTTCGGTCCAGTTTCAACCTACTCAACTTTTCAATGCTTCATGGAAATGGGGACTTCGGATTTCATTTCGCTTTTTATCAACAGATGTAGGCTCCAAATTTCATGCTTGGGTGACAGGAGGAACAGGGGCAGCAAATATGGAAGAAGTCTGAAGAGCAATGTGGCCCTGAGAATGTTAAGTTCCTCCCTCAGTTTTAGGGAAAGGCTATAGACTATGAGCAGCCCATATTTAAGGGTGAAAATTGTGTTCTACGTCTTTTTGGGCAGAGAATTTACATAAATCAGATGGAATTCTGAGATTTGTCTCTTCTCCATTTTTTTTTAAACATTCATATCAATGTGGACTCATGGATTTTTATTTTATGGTTTGAGTAATTTATTTTGTTGATCAAATTGTTCCAGCTTTCACTATGGGGAGCTCTTCCAGTTGAACTGGCTTCTGTGTCCCTTTGACATGCCATCTTCCCCATTATTATACCTTTTGGAATCATTATTTTTAAAGAACTCCTTTAAGGGGCACCTGGGTGGCTAAGGTAGATAAGCATCTGATTCTTGGTCTGAGCTCAGGTCTTGATCTCAGGGTCATGAGTTAAACCACCACATTGGGCTCCATGCTGAGTGCAGAGCCTACTTAAAAAAAATTTTTTTTAAACTCCCTTACTTTCTGACAGTACAAGATGCTTCAAGCTATCTTATATATTCCCTGTTCCTTCAAGAAGTCCTTTTTCCTTTTTTTGGAGAAGGGTATTAGAAACCAAATCTGGTTTCGGGTATGCTTGTTACTACTGGAGTATCATTATTTGTAGGACAGTTCTTGCTAACAAGTTTTAAAATGTAACTTCCTTCTATACAATGAAGGGGTAAAATCTGTGTTTTGATGAGTTGCAGCTATTATTTTACAGCCTATCACAGTTTAGTTTCTTATGTCCACAGCCTGAACAAAAATCACTTTTTGACAGCTGATGCAATTCTGATGGCTCTGTTAGACTAGTGTGTCAGCTACCGTCCCCCAGAGTCTAGTTACAGCAGTTTGGAACTGAACATTAGTTTATTTTTAATTTTTTTTTTAACCTGATCAGCTGTATTCTACTCATCTACTCTCCCTTCTCACCCTTCCCCTATAGTTTTCTCCCTCCTCATTGATCTAATGGAGCAAAATGTTGGAATTGTTTTGATGTGAAGATAATGGTAGTCTGTTAGTTCTCTACACTGCCACTTAATGTTGTAGTTCAGCTGATACTGTTGAAAGTTTGAATACTTGCTTGGTAGAGTTCAGATGTCCCCAAGTTTCTGATCTGTAAGACTAGAGCAATGCTACTGCTTCAAACCATGTTAACTAGTCTGAGCTGGGTACCATATTGATACCATAAGCTTAAATGAAGGCTTGATATAAACTACACTGGTGGACTTAGTGTTCTTCTTAGTCAAGATTCTAGAATGGATTATTTAAAGGATTATTTCCTTAATACCATGAAATGGAAGTGTTACAAAGGACAAGGAATTTTTCAATTATATAAAATTTTTGATGGGATAGCTATAGCACAGGTATCTCCCCACAGCAGCTTTGTGAACAAGATAAATGGGGCAGAATGTCAGTACATTAGGTTGGTTTATAAAGATTTCAATAACTATAGTCAAATACCAATGGTTCACATGTCACTGATTAATTGGGAGGACTGGAGGAGTGGGCCTAAGCACTTCAGTACATTTATCCTTTTTCCTAACCAATGGATGAGAATGTAGGTCATGCTGGGAAATTCTGAAAATGATTGGCTTCTGAGGAAGACCCTCAAAGGAGATTGTTAGCTCTTTACGGAAATAAGATTTGTCTTTGTTGAACAGGGATTGACCAAATAGTAAGGATCAAAATCATCTGCATTCTCAACACTAGGGGAAGTATAGTATAGTATACATGTGTGGAAAAGGCAAAGGGTTTAATTTCAACTAGTCAGTAGTCTAATTGAGCAAATGTCAGAATATTTAAAATAAACTGAGATAGCATTACAAAGGAATATTGTACCAAGAACCAGGATGGTAAGCTTTCTTAAGTCACCTCTGAGGGAGGCAGATACCACCTGGGAAAGTGTTCATTTTGGAGGTCACACTTTAATGATGGTCTTTGGCAAAAGGAGTATTTGTTTCCCAGGGAAAACAAGATTGTGAGGTTAGTTCAGCTCAGTTTGCACTGCTTCAGTGTTTACCATAGATCAGATACTGTATTAAACATTGTTAATATGATGCTAAGATATGGGTCCTATTTGTTTGGTCCAGTTGAGAAAGGCTGCTTAATATAGCTGTAAGCACAGCACAGGCCCTGCACAATGGGGCTCTTGAAGCAGAGTATAATTTAGCCCAGACTGTCAGAGGCCAGGGAAGTCTTTCTGGGAAAATGACACCTAAAAGGGGGTTGGAAGGTTTGGAATTTAACCGAGAAGGGCAAGCAGGGGTGCCTGGATGGCTCAGGCGGTTGAGCATCTGCCTTTGGCTCTAGGTCATGATCCCAGGGTCCTGGGATTGGGTCCTGCATCGGGCTCCTTGCTTGGTGGGGAGCCTGTTTCCCCTGTTGCTCCCCCTGCTTGTGCTCAATCTGCCTGACAAATAAAATCTTAAAAAAAGAAAAAAATAAGGCAAGTAATGCTGCAAAGAGAGCTTTGCCCATTAGAAACCATTGAAGGGATTTAAAAAGTTTTCCCCAAAAAGCTATGATTATTTAGTTCTGAATATTTGGAAATGTGATGAAGGATTAAATTTTTTCGTGGCTCCCAAGGAAGAGAAATGAAAGCAAATTTGCGTTCAGTAAATTAATTTATTTAGTGAAACCTTATAGTAAAGCACCCCCACATAATGCAAATTCAGTAAACTGAATGGTGATTGGCTGTCTTGCAGTAGGTTCACATGATCATTTCATTAACCCACAATAACATGATTCTACTTTTTTTTATGGGATTGTTTTATATTCCACTCATATACTAAAACCTTGCCGTAATGCTGTATCAAGAAGAGCTGACCAAGAGCTGCACTGGGAAATGGGAAACTTGATCACAATATAGTCTCAAGTACAGGCTGGATGATAATTTGTTGGGAATGCTGTGGAAGTGTGGAAATTTGGGTTAGATAGGCTCTCCAAGGTGCCTTCTACCTCTGTGATCCTGCAGCCCTCAAAAGAAACTATGTGATAGTTTCATGAATAAAGACAGTGATAATGAACAAATTTATAAATTAGGGTTTATTTATCTTCCATAAAGCTTATGTTTCTTACTAAATCTGGCAGAATTCATCAATTGATAAGAAATTTAACACTATTTAAATGTACTTTCTTTTATTCATGATTACAAATACTATTTTTTTTTTCTTTTTGGTTATAAATACTCTTAAAGCAAAGCTTCAAACCTGAAACTTGTTTGCAGCCTAAGTTAATATTCTAAGCCTACACATCTGGCTCCCTCCCTCTACCAATTATTTACTATAACAACCTCGGGAAATTGTATGTATTGCTGCTGAAACCTGAGAAGGGTGCTAACAGCGTATATGAATCCTTTAAACTTTTCAGCAGCATAAAATGTAAATGAAAGCAGAGGTACAAGTTTGCCATTCAGTGTGCATGAAAAATGTGCCCCCCACCCGAGCTAGTCTTCCAGGAGTGACATCAACTCAGTGCCCACCCACAGCAAGGATTTAGCCTACTGAATAGAATGAGAGTATGCCTGGAAAGTAAGGAAAGGGACGCTGAAGCTCAGGCTGCAGCAAGACATTCATATAAAGGGAAGTGAGTCAAAGGAAAATTAATAGCTATTGTTTTTTTATGGAAACCATGTGATTACTACTGGGGAATATATATTCATAAATATAACATGCTATATTTCATTTTAATAAATTCTACACACATTGATAGACAGAAAAGGAAATGAAAAGACTATTAATTGTTTGATATTAAAAGTACTTAAAAATTTCTTTTGACTTTTTTTTCCTGTAACAAATTACTTCTCTAATAACAGAAAAGTGTTAAAAATTAGTCTCAGCAATAAAACTATAAACAGATTAAAAATTCCTATGGCAACATTTTCTTTCCTTCTCTCATTCTTTGGAATTCAAGTTACCGATTTTATCAAATATTTTTGAGTTAAATTTATATAAAAAAGCAGATTGCATATATGTATTCCATTTAAAAATGCTGACAAAAATGCCCAAGCCAAAATCCCCCGAGGTAAGGTGGCATAAAAGAATTGACTGTATTTATTAGGACAGAAAAACAAAACTCTACCATAATTACTATCACTGGAATTAATGAAAATGAATAATAATAATGTAAATGAATACACACTTTAATAGCATAATAACAGTGATTTGTCATTAAGGTCTTCACGTTCAATAACATTTAACTAACTTTAGAAAGACAATGCCACAACATTGTTTTTAAGCACGACACATTAACCTGAAACTAATGTAACACTGTGTCAACTATATTAAAAAATAAACAAAACACCTACATGTTAGATTATCATTAACACAGTAGATAAGGACAAAGACAGCAAAATTCTCTACTCTTACCACATCATCATACTCATCTCATACATGTTATCTATCAATTTTTAGTTTGGAAGTCAGCTCTCTTATTAATATCAAATTCTACTTTATTGCACAACATCCAGTTCAGCATTTGAACTATCTTTTAAAACTAAATAAAAGCAAAAATCCTTAGGAAAAATGTACTTTTCCTTTTTCAAGAAAAATGAATTTGGGTCTAAGCAGTTGAAAGTTCTGTTCAAATCTACTCTAACAGAGGAACCTGTCAAAACACTTTTCTTTAAAAACAAAACCTTTAAAAAAATGTGGACACTTTTACTAAAGCTTGTCATTTTTACTCAATTCTTTATGAAGTTTATTAAACTTATTAAGGAAATAAAATGTGGGAAGATTCAAGAAAATATCTACCATAAGAAGGATAAACATTAACATTGGCCTAGGCCACCAGGGAGGGGTAATAGCCACCACAGTGTCATTAAAAATAGGAACCTGTTAGTGGTTTGAGAAAATTATGAAGTCCCCCAACATCAAAAAGAATAGCCTGTTTGAAGGCAACATCTACATCAACAAAAGGATCCCTCTGATATTCTTCCACAGATTCCAATTCTCTCGCCATCAGCATTCTCTCTGACTCTGAAACGATGGGAACATTCAACTGACAAAAGCCAAACGAGGCATCGATATTACCAATGGTTTACTGAAGCTTCCTTTGCAAATTTCACATTTTCCAATAATAAAAATCTCCAGAGAAGTTGTACTTCGAAAGGCTAACAATATGCTTTACCTGAAATCTTGTAATGACAGTATTTTCATGAAAAAAGTTGTCTAGTAACATAAATCGCTTCTGAATCAGTTCCACAAACAAGACAAGGACCTAAAACATCCAAACTGTTCACAGACAAGGTCCTGCTGGGAAGCAAGCTTGTGATTTCAATACGGTCTTTTGCGGGATCAGTGCTGAGCCAGGAGCTTATAAGAGACTGGTGAACACTAGCCTGGTTACTAATGCTGTGAGACAAAAAAGTACTATTTCTTCCTCCTGCAAGAAAAAAAGGGGAAAACATCTTTCAAGACTACTATTATGTTAGGAAACATCTGAAATTCTACTGATATTTTAAAAAGGCCAGGATCAAAACTTAATTCTCAGAATATCAGGGTGATGACTCCATTATCACACATCACCATTTTTCACCAAAGTCTCATTCAGTGCTATTAAATACTCAAATTTCTATGGGATACTATGGGTATCGAATTTAAAGTCTTCAAGTAAGCATCTTTCTGGTGATTCTTTAATGGAGAGTCTTGGAAATGTAGCATGAAGACCCCCAGCTGTGTGAAGTGAGCCAGCTATGGCATTTGTAGTCATCAGCACTACAGCAATAAGCAGCTGATGGATTTCAAGCTCTAGGATACCAGAATTTACCTTGAGGCAGGAGAATGGAAACATTCTATCATTCTTTAATGGTAAAAATCTGAGAATTTCCAATGTGGTATTTAAAACTGTAACAAAACTACACACAAGAATCTTTCTTAAATCCTTTTACCTTGGTTAAACAGTGATGATTTTTCAGGTACGTCTGTGGAGGCATCCCAATGCCAGAGGGATCCGTCCTCAGAACAAGTAAATAGATGATCTGGGTTGGACGGGTGAAAGTGAACTTCCCACACTAAAAGGTAAGAACCAAGATGCTAAAAACTGTGCAAATGAGTTGAACAAACTTTAAAGCCCCGTCTCTAGGCATCATCTTCCATTAACCTCCATCACATACCTTCAAATCCTAAGTCTGATAAAAATCAAAGGCTTCAGAATTAAAAGGCAAAATATAATTTTCCAAATGGCTATAACATACAGATAGCATAAAGAAGCCAAGTAAATCTATTTGTGCATTGGGCCAGCAAGTGAATGAAAATAAATGCCAATCATTTGACTTATTACATTTTTTTTAAAGATTTTATTTATTGATTTGACAGAGAGAGATCACAAGTAGACAGAGAGGCAGGCAGAGAGAGAGAGAGAGAGAGAGAGAGGGAAGCAGGCTCCCTGCTGAGCAGAGAGCCCGATGCGGGACTCAATCCCAGGACCCTGAGATCATGACCTGAGCCGAAGGCAGCGGCTTAACCCACTGAGCCACCCAGGTGCCCCATGACTTATTACATTTTTTAATGAAAGAATAGGACAATGGGATAATTCCTAAAATATGTATTTTTAAGATTTTACTTATTTGTCAGAGAGAGAGAGAGAGAGAGAGCACACAAAGCAGGGGAATGGCAGGCAGGAGCAAGGAGTCCGATGCAGACTCAATCCCAGGACCCAGGAATCATGACCTGAGCTGACGCTTAACAGACTAAGCCACCCAGATGTCTCAAAATATTTTTTTAAATTGGTAAGTTCTCTTATTTTCAATTCCTATGTTATTAACATGTGAAGGTTAGATGCGCCTGAGTGGCTCAGTTGGATAAGCAACTGCCTTCGGCTCAGGTCATGATCCCAGTGTCTTGGGATCAAACCCTGCTTCTCCTTTTCCCTCTGCCCCTCCCCACTGCTCATATTGTCTCTCTCTCTCTGCTCTCTCTCTCAAATAAATAAAATCTTAAAATATATACATATGAAGTTTCTATTACTGGAAAAACAGAAAATACCATAAAGATAACATACAAGTGAATTTCTAAGCAGCAGTTCAATTTTGCTTCATGCCAGTATTCTGGATGCCTCTGGTATATATCACAGAAATACCAACTGCCCCTAGCAAACTAAAACCTAGAAATGGCTCCCAGAATCTGGACTGTTTCAGATGGAGGGCTTTTAAGAAGCCAATCTGGGATTGAGAACCCTGCAAGTACTAAACTTTAAGGGAACTTTGTGTGTCAGTAGACAAACGGGAGCCAATGACTGGCCAGGATGCTTTAGGAGGTTCTCTGCAGCACACAAATCAAACAGGTAGTCTGTGAACAAGGGTTCTGTGATTCTGGATAAGAACCTTCAAAAGGCAGCATAGAAGGTGCTGAGGACAAAGCATAAAAAGTATTAGAAGGCACATGCTTGCAAGTGGGCAATTTTTATTCTGACATATGCCATAATTAAGCATCAATCCACCAAACATTACAAGGTCATTTTCCTCAGGAGAACGTGTTCTGGGAAAACCCCTATATAAAATATATTCATACTGTTTCATTTAAAAAAAAGTGAAGGAAAATAGCCTATAGAACCATAAGCTGACTGTACAAACCTAGATTCTTAAGTATTTATTTTCAAAGTATAACACAAACCTCTGTACTAAAACATCTTATTTCTAGCCAAGAGTCAGAATGAATCAAAACAATACATTACCGTCTGCTACATCTGTATGTATTGCTTAGCAATACAGGCTGGCAGTTAAAAAGGGAGGCTGGAAGAAGAGATCTGGAAGTTTCTAGTATTACTACCACTGGGTTAGCCAACATCAGATTCTATGAGGACATACATTATTTTTTATTCTTTTTTTCCCCCGGGTATAGTTATAACTAGAAGAGGCAAAATATTTCTATCCTTTTATTTGCTTCTTAAATATAATCTTAAAAATCATTTATCTTCCCAAGGTAATAATGTGAAACTTAAACCGAGACGTTACAATACTGGCATGTTTCTACTTTTGCATTTTTATTCAAGCAAGGCTTACCATAAACTTAAGTCAGAATTTAAAACTATAATCCAGTCATGATATCAAAGATAATGATAAAATGAAAAATTTTTGTCTGGTCAAAAAATCCCCACCAAAATAAAAAAAATGAACAAAAAAAGGGACAAGATCCTATATATAAATACTGCTCTTGTTTAAAAAAAAAAAAAAAAGGTACAATAATAAATTGAGGAACACTAGATTGGCAAATATTAAAAATAGCCTACATTTACATGGGAGTAGGTCATCCTCTTATAAAGAGCATGGCAATATAAATTGGTATTTTTACGTGTAACAGTTTGATAACATGTATCACAGTTTTATGTTTTGGCTCACCACTTCTTCTAAAAAATTATCCCAAGAAAATAAGCATATAGGGCGCCTGGTTGGCTCAGCTGGTTAAGCGTCTGCCTTCCCCTCAGGTCATGATCCCAGAGTACTGGGATCGAGACCTGCATCAGGCTCTCTGCTCAGTGGGGAGTCTCCTTCTCCTTCTCCCTCTGCCTGTTGCTCCCCCTGCTTATGCTTTCTCTCTCGGTATGTCAAATAAAAAAAATATTTAAATCAAAAAAGGCAAGAAAGAAAGAAAAAGAAAAGAAGCACATAAAGATGAACACATAAGGATAATTACTGTGGTTTTGGATAGAATAATGAAACATGTTGAAAAACTTAAGCGTCTGGGCCGCATGGGTGGTTCAGTCGTTGAGCATCTGCCTTCAGCTCAGGTCATCATCCCAGGGTCCGGGGTGGAGCCCTGCATCAGGCTTCCTGCTCTGTGAGAAGCCTGCCTCTCCCTCTCCCACTCCCCCTGCTTATGTTCCCTCTCTGGCTGTCTCTCTCTCTGTCAAATAAATAAAATCTTAAAACAAACACTTAAGTGTCAAATAAAAAGGGATTATTATACATTTATATAATTTAGCCAAAAGCTACAATGTAAAATGATCCCTATGTATCATTATAGAAAGCTCCTTACAATATACCACATTACTACCTGACAAAAACTTACATATCGCCACAACACTTACTTTCAGCTTCATGAGCCTTCAGCAGAGACACAGGCATAGTACCTTGTCTAACATCCCAAATACTCAGCATTCCGTCCTGGCCACCAGTAGCTACAACATGCTGCTGGTTGGGATGTCTATCAACACAGTGGAGGGGTACTCGGTCACCAGTCCTTTTATGGGAGACACAAGGACATCAAACATGCTGTGAGTATGATTTATCTTTGCATAATCCATGAAATATGTTTCACTCTAGTAAATAAATGATAACTTTGCAGCTGGAGCAGCTGGCTGAACTTAAATCATGTCGAAAAATTGAGTGCATTAAATATATTTCTAAATATTAGAACTTTGCAATGGAATTAAAGCCAAAGTTATCCCCTCTTCAATTTGGAGACATAAGGAGCATGATAATCTGATGATAAGATATGCAAACATATTTCCATTTCTTGGCATTTTAAAAACAATATGTACAACTAAGCAGCATATTCTTTACCTTCACCTTATTTAATATTTTGTTTATATAATTACTTTTTCAGTTTGACACATTCTATATTCTTATTAGAGAAGAGAAAACTGCACACACAGAATGGGGATTTTTGCTTAGAAAAAAGTATCCTGGATTGTGTTTTTCATCCAACCACATCTGAAGTGCACTGTACCTACTATCAGTACAATCATTTGCTGAGCAAAAATAAATTCCCCATTAAATAATATAAACTTCAAAAAGAGATAAAGCCTCGGAATCAATAGGACAAATATTTACTAAATGCAGCACAGCAGCAGCAAGCCCAACAAATTGTACTCGCTTTACCAAATTTAATCAGGGATCATTCTTTCCAAATGCAATTAAAATACAATACGGTTTAAAGTCAGTTGCTATAAAAAATTTAACAAATTAATTTTGCATTACCCTAGTGAATTACAAATGACAACTTACAGTGATAATATCTGAGAGGGCTCATTTCCTTGTTTTCTGAAATCCCATATTTTTAACTGCCCAATTGAATTTACTGTAAGAATCTCAGGAGTTCGAAGGAAGGTTACAGCATGGAGTGTACTGCTATCTGCATTGTCTACAAATTAAGAAAACAGTAGTGTGTGTTAATAAGTCCTGCTTTTCCTTTTGCACAGCCAAGGAAACAGTCAACAAAACCAAAAGAGAACTGACAGAATGGGAGAAGATATTTGCAAATGACATATCAGATAAAGGGCTGGTATCCAAAATCGAGAAAGAACTTAACAAACTCAACACCCAAAGAACAAATAATCCAATCAAGAAACAGTCAGAAGATACGGACACTTCTGCAAAGAAGACATCTAAATGGCCAACAGACACATGAAAAAGTGCTTCAACATCACTGGCCATCAGGTAAATACAAATCAAAACCACAGTGAGATACCACCTCACACCAGTCAGAATGGAGAAAATTAACAAGTCAGGAAATGACAGATGTTGGCGAGGATGAGAAGAAAAAGGAACCCTCCTACATTGTTGGTGCACTCTGGAAAACAGTATGGAGGTTCCTCAAAAAGTTGAAAATAGAGTACCCTACGACCCAGCAATTGCACTACTGGGTATTTACCCTAAAGATACAAATATAGGGATCCAAAGGGGGCACGTGCACCCCAATGTTTATAGCAGCAATGTTCACAATAGCCAAACTATGGAAAGAACCTAGATGTCCATCAACAGATGAATGGATAAAGATGTGGTACACACACACACACACACAACGGAATATCATGCAGCCATCAAAAAACCAAAATCTTGCCATTTGCAACATGAATGGAACTAGGGGTATTATGCTAAGCGAAATAAGTCAATCAGAGAAAGACAATTATCATATGATCTCTCTGATATGAGGAATTTGAGAGGCAGAGCAGGGAGTCGTGGGGGGGTAGGGAAGGAAAAAATGAAACAAGGTGGGATCAGGAGGGAGACAAACCATAAGAGACTCTTAATCTCAGGAAACAAATTGAGGGTTGCTGGGGGGTTGGGAGAGGTAGGGATAGGGTGGCTGGCTTATGGACACTGGGGAGGAAGGGTATGTGCTATGGTGAGCACTGTGAAATGTGTAAGCCTGATGATTCACAGACCTGTACCTCTGCGGCAAATAATACATTATACATTAAAAAAAAAAAAAGTCCTGCTTTTCCACAAAATTCTTAAATCGAATTCCTTCCATCGATTGAAATATTACAGGTGAACTTTTAAATAAGTCAGTTTAATTTCTTTAGAAAAATGCACATTAAAATAGACTCTCCTTTGATAGAAAAATACCACTTATAGAACATCTGTTTTCTAGTCAGCAGAATTTTCACATATTTCTCTATTTCCACCTAAGATTATTACCCTCCATTGCTGATACAGCTATTGAAGTTCCTCTGTATCTAAATTTTATATCTCCCACTAGTGCTTAACCCAGAACCTCCAAACTCAGTGCTTCCTATAAAGTTCATTCTGAACTTGTATCATTTGGCCAACTCATCTCAAATCTATTCATTTTTGGGGTCACCTGGCTCACTCAGTTGGTAGAGCATGCAACTCTTGATCTCAGGGATGTAAGTTCAAGCCCCATGTTGGGCACAGAGATTACTTAAAAATAAAATCTTAAGAGATGCCTGGGTGGTTCTTCAGTTAATCGTCTGCTTTTGGCTCAGGTCATGATACCAGGGTCCTGAATCAATCCCTGCATCAGGCTCCCTGATCAGTGGGGAGCCTGCTTCTCCCTCTCCCTCTGCCTCTCCCCACTCTGGTGCTTGCTCTCTCCTCTCATGTTCTCTCTCTCTCTCTCATGCCCCTCTCCCTCTCTCTCTCAGATAAATGAGTGGAATCTTAAAAAAAAAAAAGTAAGTAAATAAATAAAATCTTAAAAAAAAAAATCTCTTCATCTTTAGCCTCATAAACTCTCTTCTCCATGAAGTTCTTCCAGACTGGTATACACTGGTCCTTTCCCTTTTCCTCGAGTGTTTAAGCTTGTACCACATAATTTAACATATACTTCTAGATTTTGTTTTGTGACACTCCTCCAAACTCCAGGTAATGGTCCTTAACTGTTAAATAAGTGTTCTTCAGAACTATAAATAAATAAATAAATAAATAAATAAATAAATGAATGTAATACCACAAAAAACTCATTCATGGGCTGAATCCACAGAGATTCTGATTCAGGAGGTCTAGGGTGGTAGGTTGTTAAAACTACTGTCAGGCAAATCTGTCTTTAGCACAGTTGAGAACTAACTAGACTAACTCTTCTAAAGCTCAGCAAGGAGTGTATCATCCCCTTGACTGAAAAGTTCCAGTGGCTCCTTAGTGGTCCACCTAACAAAATGTAACCTCGGTAGCTATGCATCACTTTTCCCAACCTGGCCCCAATTCACTTCTCTTGGTTCATCTGTCACCTTTCCTACATAAGTATCGTTAAGTATTGATAACTATGCTTTTTGTCCTTCTCTAAGTGGACCTATCCTGCCTCCGTGTTATTCCCTTTGTTTGGTATGCCATCGTTTAGTATTACTTACGGTCTAGAACCTAGATTCAATTAATTGCCACTTGTTCCTCAATTCTTAGAGAATCCCCACAGGCCACAACAAAACAAACAAAAACAAAATAGTTTCTCCTGTGTAGTCACTCATTCATACATGCCTTAGCAACATATTGTCTTGTAAAGGGATCCCACTTTATCTTTTTACATCCTTCAAACACTTAGCATTGGGTCTGCTTAGCACATGGTAGGTGCTCAACTGTTATGAGATAAAAAAGAAGGATGATTTTTCTTTTTTTTTTTTTTAAAGATTTTATTTATTTATTTGACAGAGAGTGAGAGATCACAAGTAGGCAGAGAGGCAGGCAGAGAGAGAGAGAGAAAGCAGGCTCCCTGCTGAGCAGAGAGCCCGATGCGGGGCTCAATCTCAGGACCCTGGGATCATGACCCGAGCCGAAGGCAGAGGCTTTAACCCTCTGAGCCACCCAGGTGCCCTGAAGGATGATTTTTCTTACCTATGGTTCTCACCGCCTCCTTGTGATCGGCTCTGAAGAGATTTATCCGACCATCTTCTCCAACGGTGACAATTTCGGGGTTGCTGCACACAATACCTGTGCATGGTGCACTGCCACAGGAAGGACTGCCCGGACCTGTGTGGTAGTGAGCGGCTGTCCACTGCTGGCTGACTGACAGAGTCTAGGTGTCAGAAATGAGAATAGGATGAATCAAAGCAAAGCCTTAAAAACTAGCACTTTTCCCTGAATAGACTATCCCATACCCCTCTAGAAAAAGAGTCACTCTCTCATTTTTCCTTTGTATTTCTGGACACTAAAGCCTAGAAACTACTTCCATCAAAGTTCTATATACATGGGGCGCCTGAGTGGCTCAGTCGGTTAAGCGTCTACCTTTGGCTCAGGTTATGATCCCAGGGTCCTGGGACTGAGCCCTGCATTGGGCTCCTTGCTTCGCAAGGAGTCTGCTTCTCCCTCTTCCTTTGCCCACCACACCCCCTGCCTGTTCTCTCTCTCTCTCTCTGTCAAATAAATAAATAAATAAATAAAATTTTTTAAAGAAAGATTTTATTTATTTGACAGAGAGAGAGAGAGACAGTGAGAGAGGGAACACAAGCCAGGGGAGAGGGAGAAGGAGAAGCAGGCTTCCCGGCTGAGCAGGGAGCCCTGATAACCATGGATCCTGGGACCGTGACCCGGGCTGAAGGCAAATGCCCAATGACTGAGCCACCCAGGTGCCCTAATAAATAAAATCTTAAAAAAAAAAAAAATCTTAAAAAAAAAAAAAAAGTTCTGTATACACTGGATTAGATTTAAAAAATGCTACTCAATATCAAACTTATCTCAAAGAAATGGTTTAGGTACCAGACAGTTGTGTGTTCAAAAGCAACTCTAAATTCTTTTTTTTAATATTTTATTTACTTATTTGTGAGATAGAGTGCAAGAGCACAAGTAGGGGGAGCAGCAAGCAGAGGGAGAAGCAAGCTCCCCACTGAGCAAGAAGCCTGTTGCAGGACTTGATCCCAGGACCCTGGGAACATGACCTGAGCCAAAGGCAGACGTTTAACCAACTGAGTCACCCAGGAGTCCCTAACAGCAACCCTAAATTCTTAAGGGAATTAGCCTACATCTAAGAAAGAAATCTCTAGGGTTTTCTAACTGAAACCATCAGGAAAAATACTTAAGAAGATCTGGGTCTTATATTTATTAGGCATGCCTATTAGGAAGATGAACTTTACTAGCCTAAAAATCCAAATGAGCACTCTCTTCCAGCAACTTAAAAATGTTACTACAAATGGGGCTATTTTAAAGGACTGCCCTACCACTATGAAGGTCACCACTTGGGCTTTTAATACACAAGAAAGGCACTGATAAAATGTCTTTATAGTGCATCTTTTCTTCTAATTATAACCTAGGTTCTATCCACAGCAGCAAAATGCATCCTCTCTTCTAATTAAAACCTAGGTTCTATCCACAGAAGCAAAGTAGCTGTCCCTGTTCTCTCTCATGATACCTGAGCTAGAAGGTGCTCTTTCTTCGAAAGATCAGAATAGTAACTTGGGAAATTACTTGCCAGAAAACCCCATCGATAGCTCTGTACTAACAGAATTTAAGAGGTATCTACTTTCAATAACAGCTTACACAAACCTGGTTCAAGAATTAATCTGCTGAAAGATAGGTAATACTGTATTTCTTCCCTCCATATTTTTTTTTATTATTATTTATTTGTCAGAGAGAGAGAGAGAGAGAGCGCGCCAGCGCGGGAGAACACAAGCAGGCAGAGCAGCAGGCAGAGGCAGAGAGAGAGAAGCAGGCTCCCCACTGAGCAAGGAGCCCGATGCGGGACTCGATCCCAGGACTCTGGGATCATGACCTGAGCCGAAGGCAGCGGCTTAACCCACTGAGCCACCCAGGCGTCCCTCCCCTCCATATTTTGAGTATGAAACTTACTTGTGTCATTATTATATACAACTTAGGTTAGGCCTCCTTAAAAATAATTAAAATATAAATTCAGTTTTTGAGCAAAAAATTCTTTACCTGGTTATTTGGATGGTGAAGGAAAACTGTTACACATCCTGTTGATGAAGCTGCTACAATTCTTTCCTGGTCAAAAAACTAAACAGAAAATTCTTGCTTGTTACAGATTCAGAAATGTTGATACGGGGGGGGGGGCTATTTGTTTGACTCAATTAGTAGTCTAACAATTTTAAAATGCAAACAGCCTATAAATGCTAAACAAATAAAATGTGATGATGGAGCTGCAAAGTCAAAACCACTACACAAATGAAAAGATTTTCATGAAGAATAAATAACAGTTTTCCCCCTCAACTCCTTCACCTATAACTGGTTTAATTTTGGACTACCACCATAGAGGTTTAGAAAATAATCATTCTCAGGGTTAGGCAGTTTTCTATAGAAGAAAATGCAGGGACTCTTAAGTCCTACAGACCAGGATTTGAAAACTTAATTCCATTTTCCCCACTTTACAGGCTTTGAGACATTGGCCAAGTTAAGTTCTCTAAACCTTGGTAAACCTTTAAAATGGAAGAACTAATCCCCACTTAGGGGGTTGTTATAAGAATTCAAAAAGCAAAACCATGTAAAGTACCTTAGGTATTTGTCCCATAGTGACATAAAATACCTGATTCACAGGACGTGATGAAAATTAGACTTCTGTAAAGCCACCGCAAATACTGTTTGGCACACAGTAGATGGCCAGCTAATTAAGCAAACAAACAAATCAGGATTTTTAAAAGTCTGATTAAATTCACATCCCCTTCTGCTATTAAGTGGTTATATAATTAACATTAGCAAACCATAACCTACAGAGAACTCAGTTTCCTGTAAACCCTGAATAACACTAGACAAACTTTAAGGTCCTTTGCACCTCTAAATATATTACTCTCAGTTTTTTAGAAGTTAGCTTGTGGACATTACACAGACTTACCTGTAAATCCATTACATCGCCATGGTGTCTGATATCACACAATAACTGATGGTCTCCTTCAAACCCTCCATCAGAGTCCAAGTTCCCAAAATCTCCAATAGACCACAGTGAAACATAATTTTCCTGTAAAGCAGAAAGTTTCCTCTTGAGATGAAATTTACATCAAACTCTTGAACAGTAAAATCTGTATTGCCTTCAAGCAACCTTGCTTTTAAAGCATCTCAGATCACTGGAAGGTGACAGTTTAAAACACGAGATTCGAGGTTCAAGCTCATCATCGATGGCTCTGAGTTACCGGACAACAGGACCTAAGACGGGAACTTGGGGACGGAGATAGCGAGAGGAGCCAGAAGGCGAGATCTCGCGCGCGGACCGCCAGCGGCGCGGTTCCAGGAGAAAGGGGGAAGCAGGAGCTTCTCGCCCAGGAGCGGAGGTACCTCATTGTCCCAAGAGCCCGCAGCGAAGGTATCCGCGGTCTGCAGGCTTCCCGGAGGTACCGGTCGCCAGCGGGTTTTGCTGATTTTCTGAGACACAAACTTAGCATAAATGTCCTCCATTGCAAACCAACTGCGACAGGTACAGTCAGAACACAGCGCGGGCCTCTGAGCCCCGCCCCTTCCGTGGAGTCCTGATTGGGCCGAACGTTACAAGGCGGACGGTGGCTGCGGAGAGCCAATTCTCGTCCTTCGGCAATGCGGGTACCATCAACCCCCAAGCCGGAGGAAGTTGGGCCGCCCTTCCTCATCGAAGTGGCTCTGAACAGAGTCCTCAAAGTCCGTATAGGAACACCGAAACGGTGTATTTGTGCAATAATCGTGCAACGTAAGACAAATTTAAGAGCAAAACCAAAAAATCAATGCAAGAGGAACCACCTAGTAGCTTCACCCATTCAGTTTTGTATCTCAGCACCCACAGAAAATACTAAAAATCCTTAAATTCTTATATAAGTACGTTCACTACTGTACAAACTCATTCTAAAGCTCTCCCTTTATGTTTCTCAAGCAAATACTTTGCTTATTGTTTATTTATTGTTTATTATTTGCTTAATTGTTAATACACACTGTCCGAGCCTGGAGTTGGAATTCTAAAAACTCCAAAACTTATAGTTTTGACATCCACTGCCTAGCTGTGTAAACTTAATTCATTTAAGCATGTAATGAATGAGTTTGATATATAATGTCGACAGTGTAGGAATTAGTGCTCTAGGTTCCTGCTTCTGTGCTTCGAATGACCTACAATATCCTTTTATTCTCTACTTCTCAGAATCCTGGTCATCCTTCAAGGACTGGTTCCTTCCCCTATCTTTTCTTGATTACTCCAGCCCATGATGTTGTAAATAAGCATAGCTCTTGACTTTTGGGCCAGAATTGTACTTATATATTTGCCCTCTGCTGCCTGTTTTCTTTCAAAGCAGATCTCCCCAATTAGCATGTAAATCCTATTGCATACAAAAGGTATCACTGACTTTAAAAAAATATATATATATATATATATATATATATATATTTAACTCTCCTTTATACTACATTCGTAACTGTGTTTTGGTTGTTCCTTTAAAAGGTAGTCTTAGTTCACACCCACAGCTTATGGAAGCACAACATGTAGATGTGATCCGTCTAGATCAGCTTTAGAGGTTTACCAGGCTCTTGTAGAGAGTAGATTCATTTTGTTCTTTTAACTAGAATATTGGGAAACTGCAGAGATTAGATAGAAAACTAGTAGAGTCCCAAATCGACAATTTTATTTCTAATATTAAGGAACACTAAGGTGCTTCCTTAGGGCAGTAGGCAGTGCATTGGTCACATAAAGAACGCTGCTTTGTTGTTGTTTTTGTTTTAAAGATTTTTATTTATTTATTTGACAAAGAGAAAGAGACATTGAGAGAGGAGATCAGGTGGAGGCGGGCGGGGAGAAGCAGGCTTCCCCCAGAGCAGGGAGCCCAGTGTGGGTCTCCATCCCAGGACCCTGGGATCATGACCTGAGCCGAAGGCAGACGATTAATGACCGAACCACCCAGGCGCCCCAAGAGCACTGTTTTGAATGTGGTTTCCTTTGTCACAGAATCCCAGAAAACAGGTAATGTACAAGTATGTCTTTGGAGTGGTTTTAGGCTGAGTGTTTCATTTGACAAAATCTGATGAGAATTGGAATTTGAAAATCATTGCTCATGCAGTAGCCTAGAGGTCTTGACGTTGCTTTGTTCTTGAAAATTTATTGGACTAAATGATAACTGGATTCTGTCATTCTCAATTCTGATTAGGAGGCAGCAAGTTGGATGTGACGGGCAATGTTACCAGTCAGCTTCCCGAACGAACTCACTGTCTTGCAGTGCTGATAGCGATAAAGCTGTGTCCAGTCTAACGGTGGAATTTGTGGGGATTAATTAGCTGAAAATGCACACTTGTATTGGGAAAAGAACATTCTCCATTAGAGACTGTGGTAATTTTAGCCGAAATGCAGGAGCAAAGCATTCCCACGCTCCACCCTCCCCCCAGCCTTGTTATGGTGTTCTTCCACTCTCCGAGTGTGTGCTTTAGAGTTGAGAACAAACAAGGGTCGCAAAGTTTCTGCTAACCAAACACTGATGCACTTGTCACAAAGCCAGAGACTCAGTACTCGGGTGAAAGAGGGCTCGGGTTCCATTAAGATTATTCAGGCTCCACCATACGGAGCTCTTACTCTAACGGATCTAAATATTAGACAACTGGGTTGGGTGAGGAGTACGGAGGAAGCCCACCGTCTAACAATCTGGACGGTTATAGGAGCAGAACCGCTGCTCGCAACAGCTGACTCGGCTGCCACTACGGAGTTACCGGCAGCGGCGTAACCAGATCGGGCATTCGCGGCGTCACGAATCGGTCCCACCGTCGTGCCACCGCGCTCGGTAACCAAGGCCGCAGCCAGGCACGCGACTGACTGCGCCGGGGCCTGCCCCGCCTAGCCGCAGGGCGAACTCAGCAAGTTGGCGGCGGTGCGCATCCCGAGGCCTCAGAGAGGGTGCACGCACCGGCGGCTGCGGCGGCGGCGGCGGCGCTGACTCAGCCCGGGCTCCCAGCCCGCCCGCAGCAGCCGCAACTGCCACAGGCGCAGGCGGAGGGGCACGCCGCCACCTCTGCCCGCGGCCCCACCCTGCCGCACCCGAGGCCGCACAGCGTCACAGAGCGCATGCGTGCCGCGGGGAATGCCGGGAGCGCGCAGTGGCGGCACCGGCGGCGACAGCAGTCACAGCGGAGACTACAGCGGGGACGCAAGCGGGGCGGTGACCGTGTGGGAGGTGGTCTCACTCTTGGGGAAGCTGCTGGGCACCGTCGCCGCGCTGAAGGTGGTTCTGTACCTGCTCCGGGTGTGCTTAGCGATGGCCTGGAAATCCGGCGGCGCCAGCCACTCGGAGCTAATCCACAATCTCCGCAGTAAGTGCCACCCCCGCCCAATGTGGGGCAACTGGGCCAGGCGAGGCCTGGAGTGGGTCCCCCTGGGCGGTCAGGAACGCTCTGTCTACGCCCCCGCCCCGTGCCGGCTGGAGGGTACGCTGCAGTGTTTCACCAGCAGTGTCGAGCGGCGTGCCGTTGCTATCGCCTCCCCCGGGGACCTGTCACTCATTGGCGACGTGAACTGGAGGGGGTAGAGAAAGAGCCACGGGCCGCCTTTGGTGGGGCAGGGGCAGGCGTCTCCCCACGGGCCTGGGGGAGGGGTTGCGACACAGGTGGTGGGGCTGTCACTCGAGTTCGTCGCCTGCTCGTTCGGGTCTGGCGGGCGAGGGGCGTGCCCTCGGGGTGGGGAGATGTTGGCCTCGGGTAGAGGCTGGGCTGGGTCGGAGGGGACTCCACCCTCGACCCCCGCGTGGTCTCGCCTTCCTCCTCCTTAATCGGCCTCAGTGTAAGCATTCTCTCCTTCCTATACAGCCTCCCCCGCCCTCCGTTTTTTCCTCTGGAGGGAGATGCCGCCGTCTGATACAGGCGCGGGGAGGGAGGGAAAGATGAGAGTATTGTCATTGCGGATGCTGGGAGAAATTTCTGGGGCGGCTGTCCAGTGGAAATCTTCGTGGAGGGCGGAGGAAGAAATAATCAGAGGATGCTGTTCCTGAGAGACTTGTGTTTCAGGAGCTTTTAGAGGTCCTCGATCCAGCAAATAATTGTATGTGTGGAACGTTATGACTTTTTTTCAAGGCAGTTTCTTTATCTCATTCTCTTTAGTTATTGTATTCCTTCCTTTACGATAATTTTGAGGTGAGATGAGTGCTGTATTACTTTTTTAAAATCGAGGACCGCAGTCTGTAATCCCTTCACTCTAGTCAGAATTTGTATCACTCTGTTTGCCACCAACTTTGTAAATAATCGTATCCTGCCACGTGGTATTTTTAATTGTCATATGTTATTTAGCTTTTCTTGTGTTTGTCGTGTTTCCTAATTCGATTTGTAACTTCCCGGAGGATTAGGACTTTCGTGTTTTTAATCTTTGGAATTCTCTGAACTTATACTCATTCCTTTTTTCATAAATGCAATTAAATATACATTATGTGCTTGGATCTGTGCTAGGAATACCAAGATGAGTGAGAGAAATAAATATCCTCGTTTGGCACATGGTTAGTACTTAATATTAGTCATTTGACTTTTTTATTACGTTATTTAAACATTTTATAATTGTGTCCTTTGCGTTTATTAATGAAGAATGTTTAGAATTCAAAATTCTGTCAAGCATTTCCAGTCTTCATTTTATGGAAGGACACTTGAGTGGAAGTGGACATTTATATGCTGGGGCAGTATTTTTTTTTTTTTTTAATATAGAAGTTTGAGACTTTTGTTGTTGTTGTTGTTATTTGTAAAGATTTTATTTATTTGACAGAGACACAGTGAGAAAGAAAACACAAGTAGAGGGAGTGGGAGAGGGAGAAGCAGGTTTCCTGAGGAGCAGGGAGCCTGATGTGGGGCCTGCATCCAAAAACCCTGGGATCATGACCTTAGGCAAAGGCAGACTCTTAATAACTGAGCCACCCAGGGACCCCTGAGGCCGTGTTTTTAAGTGTGATTTAGGTTCCCATGGATTACACATAAACTCTATGTTATAAAAATTTTAACAACATTACTTAAAAATGATCTAGTGCCCACAGTTTTAGTGAACACATCCAAAACATTCACAAATTGCACAAATTGTGACTAAATAATTTTCCACTGGTAACTTATCACAGTAGACACTTGGCTATGGCAGAAATTTGTAATCAGGCTCTTAATGACTCTCCTTTTTGGGCCAAACTTTTAGTAAGTCAAGCTAGCTCTTTCCCCAGTGGTTTTATAATCATTTTATTGCAGTGTTATTATTCTTAGCTGAAATTTCTAAGGATGTTTTTCTATCAGAAAATGATAACTATTTAACATACATGGATGTTGATACTGCAAATATTTAGTCTTATACTGTAGCTATGATTTATTACAGGAAATTAGAGTGTTCAAATTGTTTAGCCTCTTGTAATACTTGTGCAATGTCAGTTTCAACTTCTTGCTGAATTCTAGCTAATAGATTTCATTTTTACTTATTAGTTTATTATAAAAGCACTATCTTCTCATGCGAGGGTTTCACAAAATCTGAAAATTTCTCCCTTTTCCTGTTA